GCAGTTATCGTAATCACAGCCAAACGCCACACGCGTTGGTGTCCAGCGGGAGGTCGTGAGCGCCGGTATGCAGTGGTGGTGAAGGGATGTCGTCGGTGTCATCATCGGTGGTGCGGTGGGACTGTCTGCCTGCCAATGTGGTTGAGCTGATCCTATCGCACGTGTCTTTGGCGGACCTGTTGTCCTGTGCGCTGGTGTGCCGTAAGTGGTATCACATCCTGAGGGACGACCGGTGCGACGTGTGGCGCATCCATTGCCTCAACCGGCTGTCCAAACAGATCCTCAAGTCGGACGTCCTGTCCTCCCTGTCCTCATATAAGGCCAAACTGAGGGCCTATTACTACGCCTGGGATTCAAACGACTGTTCCCGCAATATATACATTAAGCCAAACGGGTTCACACTTCACAGGAATCCCGTCGCCCAGAGTAGGCCTACCCCTTGATACGCCTACCGTTCCCTTTCCTGTGCTCTCACTAATCGTTTTTCTCGCTCCCGATAGGCACGGATGCGGCCAAAGGCAAAGTGGGTTTCCTAGTGGGCCGACACAGTTGGGAGGTGTGGTGGGAGGGCCCCCTCGGCGTACGTATTGAATACCAATTGATACCATGAGTGACAACACGATTGTCTAATCTATGGTGTGTTATCTGTGCGCAGACGGTGGCAGTGGTGGGCATCGCCACCAAAGAGGCGCCGGTGCAGAGCGCAGGTTATGTGGCGCTGTTGGGGTCATCGGTGGACAGTTGGGGCTGGAATCTGGTGGACAACAATCTCGTGCATAACGGCGACTGTCACGGGAACTACCCGTTGCTGAACAATGCGCCCAAATACCAGACGGGGGAACGGCTTCGGGTGATACTTGACTGCGACGACAGCACCATATCCTTTGAGCGCAACTACGAGTTCCTGGGCGTCGCCTTCCGCGGTCTGCCCAACAAACCCCTCTACCCATCCGTGTCTGCCGTTTATGGCAATACCGAGGTCTCGATGGTATACCTCGGCTACCCGTTCGATGGGTAGGCGTACCGGTAGTTGATTTACAATATTTGTGGACAGCCTACAGAACTGATTTTTTTAACGGCACTAATACTCAACACACATTTATAGTCATATTTATTACTGTATTATTAGAAACTTATGTGCATTTGATTTGAAATACTCTTTGATTTAGATTTGAATATCTATTTGTCACAAATGGTTGTTATTTTGATTTGATTTGATTTCTCAATTCTAGTCTAATACGCTGTAAGATATGATAATTTTGGGCACAATTTATTTTGTCAATTATGTGATTTATAAATTATAATTTACAATTCATGTTTAACGCAATTCAACTATTTATATAAATAAAAATTATTTAAATTATAATATTTTGACAAATCCTTTATTA